CAACTTCAATGTCACAAATGATTAAAAAAAATCCCATAAAAAAATGGTTGATTTTTTATTTTTTGTGTTTGGGACACCAGCCGAGGAAAGGTTTAGAAATGATATCTGTTTGTAATTACCAATGAATTTTCAGTCTGGTGCCTAAATGACATGTCCAAATTCTTAAAATATGGGTCTAAATCTTCCCCATAAGTAAAAACATGCAATATGAATATTTATGTTGCTGTTAAGGAATTGTCTCCAATGAAATATATAAAAATATAATTAAAAATAATTAAGAATAATAAAGTTTTATTTTGATATAACAAAAATATAAAAATCATAACGTGCTGACGCTCAGAACATTTATCACAATTATCCGTTAAGTGAGTCCCACTCCTGATTTTTCGAACTTTCTTAAGATAAATTACAATGTGAAAAGTCTGAGTAAAACATTGTCAAACCAATTCCATGTTTTATTTCCTTTTTGGATCTGAAGACATGTTTGGTAAAGGGACCAGAGCCTCATTGAAGAGTTCCAATTTCCAACCCAAATTGACATGTGCATTTGGATCCAACTCTCCATTTCTCGTACTCAATTGGCTAATTCATTACAAACCTGATGCAAACTTATAACCTCCCCCCTTAACACACCCCCATACCACCCCCACCCCAAGAACAAATAAATAAGTAAAAAATTAAGAACTGATAAAAGAACATCATCATTGTCCTGAAACTCTGTCATCTTCCTAGGATGAATTAATCTCCTCCTTTTGCCCTGTCTCATGAGACAGATAACCTTTAGCTGTCATAGTTCACCATGACATGTTGTACCCAGCAGGCATCACATGCCTTTTGTTTGGTGTTGATTTTGATATAATTCCATTTCCAATCACAGGATTTCTTCATTGTCATGTGGGTCTGTATGTAATATTTATGATTATTGGTTCATTGTCATGTGGGTCTGTATGTAATATTTATGATTATTGGAACATGATCTTAGGAAAAAGATTGATTGTGTGGAATATGATTTTGATTCCCCTTTTTATTTATTTTCCAAGATTCCCTTCACCGGCCATGCATGGATCCTTTTCATTGGCCTACCATGATAAAGTGAAAAAAAAGATTATATTTGATACTAATCTTTGATTCTTTTATACTTATACCTTATGCTTAAGACTAAAAGGAATCAAAGGACCCATATTCTTTAGCAAAATTAATGTGTAGTTTAATTAGGAAAATCAAAATCAAATCCATATTCTAGCTAGCTAACAAATAGAAAATAAATGATTTTTTTTGAATGAGTACCAAGTGTAATTCATATTGTTTTTAGTACATTCGAAATTCTATAAAAACCAATACAAGAATTAAAATAACTTATACATGACATGACTCAAAATTAAAACCTTAAATTTTTAAAAATCTTTATCTTATCATTACATCAAAACTTCATTAGTCATTATCGTTTTCTCTTTTAATTCTACAATATGATGCTACCATGGAACATGGATCATTTTACAGTAGTTCATCCAAAAAAAAAAAAGTTACTTTTGTAGAGATTAAGGAATTCACTAATAAATACCCTATCATGGTCTCTCGTAAAAATTAAAGTTTGATTTATTGATAACGTGGTGAATAAATCTCTTCACCCAAGACAACAACTAAGACAAGTCCATGAACTACTGCCAAGTATCTTAATTGGAGCAATTTTCTAATTGAGAAATCCAAAATTCTGGTAAATAATTCAAATTTTCACCCTCTTTATCCATGTGGAAACATACATTGGTATATTTTTTTTGGCAAGTTACATTGGGGAAATTGTTACCTTTACATTGATTGATAAAAGAATTGGTCACCTTACATAAAAAAAAATTTTATTTTTACCAACAAGATAAAACATTTTAATCAAATGAGCACAAGGGTAATTGATATTTGGAAATTAACATTATTAATCTATTTACTGATGATAATTATTGGCCACATATCATATGAGTTTAATTTTGGGGTATTTATTGTTTACAAGAGGAAAATATGAAGGACTTCAATAGTTCAATTCCACAGAAAATCAATGGGTGGTAGGCCAACAGAAAAGTAATAATCCATCCAAAAGGATATCGCTATTTTTAGGTGGCAGTGCTGTGGTGGTCCAAACCAACCAACAGCCACCTAAAACCAATCCAAATCCTCCAAAACCATGACTCTGACACTAACTGACATGTGTCCATAACTCAACAGCTTAAACCGGTCACTGACACTTGGCAAACTCAGAAAAACTGGTACTGAGTAGGGATGGACGCGGTTTCTTTATTTATTTATTATTTGTTTTTAAAGGACACGGTTTAGTTTTAAACTTTTAATTACAAATAGAATCAAATTATTAGTTAATTAAAATTAAAAATTAAAAATTTTAGTAATTATTAGTTAAATAGTAAAAGATAAATTTTATTGGTTTTAATTACACTTTTGAAAATAATTATTTAGCTTGAATTTAGTTTTAATTGAAAATTTATTTTTATAATTGTTAATGATTTTTTTTATTTTTTAATTATTATTTTATTAATTTTAATAACTAAAATATTAAAAATTATCTAAATAAATAAAGAATTTAATAAAAATGACTAAAAAACTTTAAAAATTATTAAAAATTTATATAAAAAGTTTTCATACTAAAATTTTTAATTATACTCATTATAATTATTTTTTTAACTCAACCATTCAAATTCAAATTGTTTAAAATTAATTTAATTAAATTTTTAATCAAATGAAAAATAGAGTTAAATCAAATCCTATCTATCAATTTTAATTCTGTAAGTTTTGACACACTCTTAATATACAATATTATTTTCATTGAATTTCTATAACTTGCACTACAAAATATGAATTGTATTAAATAAAAAAATAACTTCTCACATCATAAAATTTATTTTTATTTAATAATATAAATTATATAATTAAGTATAATTAAAATTTCATAAGATTATTATTATTATTATTATTATTTAAGACATATCCATGGAGACACCTTTTGCTGATTAAAAAAAAAAAAGAAAAAAGGAACGATGGAGGAGACACCTTTCCGGGATTGTCCTTAGCCACTCATTGCCCGGTACCTTCTAGGCTTAGGCTTTTACTCTTCAGATCTCAACCACATAAATTAATTAAAACCATCAAATAAGAAAATAAAAGAAATGAAATCAATAAATAAATTTTACATAAAATAATATTTTCAAAAACGTTTCTTATGCCTTTAAATTTATTTTAAAATAACATTTAAATTTTTAATTAAAAATAAAATAAATAAATCCTCTAACTCCATTAATTATATAAATAAATTCTTCTTATAAAAAAAGTTAAACAGTATTTGATATTTAATATCACATTAAAAACATAAATATACATAAATAAAAATAATTTATTTACATCATTAATAAATTTAAAAGATTTATCTATTTTTTTATTAATTTAAGAATTTAAATATTATTTTAGATAAATTTAAAGCCGTAAAAAGGGTTTCGTGGCCAATAAATTTTTTTAAAATAACTGCTTACCTGTTTTCGGTTTTCTTTACATTTCCTTGATTCTAACGCAACAAACTTCCTTTGCCGTCTCCACAAGTCATCACGTGCTTTTTTTCTTGTTTTTGTATTTTTTAAACATCTTCAAATCCGGTGGACGCTAACCTCACCGACGATTTGAATTTACGTCCTCGAAGCAAATGTTATTTTATTCATATTTTCTGGTAGTTTATTATTAAATACTCTTACAAAATTTTGTTTTACAATCCCAACCATAAGATAGTATCTAATTCAAGTTTTTCGAATGAATTACTCATTTAATAATGATCATGGGTTTCAGTGAGGGATAATTTTTATTTTCCTTTAAAAAAAATATCATATTAAATCAATTAATTTTTCTCTTTAAAGAAAACAATATTGTACTTAAGGATGGGTTAAAATTTTCCCTTTTTTATCACCCCGTAAATCTATTAATTAACTAAAATATTTCCTTCCACGCAATGTTGTTTGTTTG